ATTGACCAATCGAACCCATTGGATTTAATCTCTAATAATATTAAAATCCAACATGGAATAATTCATCCATTCGAACTAGACAATTGAATTGTCAACGCAGAAACTGATAGCAAAAACGGTTCCAATTTCGGGTCAGTTTTGTTAATTTGAGTTGAGTTCGAACCAAATACGACTTGAGCTCTATATTTTTTAATCGTACTTGAACTCGAACAGCCTAATACTCGGCTCAATTTGACTCGATTCGGTTGTAGTACCCCTAGTTCAATATGTTCGAATTCGATTGAATGCAATCTGGCCATCCGGTTTGTTCGGAAAACGTCAACATCTTTACGTGAACATGAATACACGACCAACTAATAGTTGTAGCCCGACATATGTCCATCCGAAACAAATAGTAAAAACAGAAAGAACATCAATCAGTTACACTGTATATGGAAACGGGTACAAAGAAAGAAATCGGAAAGGGAAAGGAGAAAGCAGTGTGGATGAGATAGATGGTGAGAGAAGTTGCAGAGATGATTCCAACAAGCTAGGATTTAGGAAGAAGAAATCTTTGATGTTGTCTCAGTAACACCTCCCTTTCTACAGAACACTGTTTCACGTACTATCCAGATGGTCAAACGAATAATAAGAATGTTAAAAGAGGAGAAGAAAGAAGAAACAAGACTCTGATTTGTTATCGTGTTCACATGGAAGGAGCCTGTGGTCCCACATTAATAGGCCAAGCAAGAGCGGACGAATGGGCCCCCAAGTAGGTGGGCAATCACATGGGATGTGAGCTCTCAACTCTGTCGTCCTTGGGTCTCTCTCTCTCTCTGTGTTGGGTCGTCTCCTTGTTCTTCAATCAAGGCCACACCATGCACACACAGAAAGGCATTGGGAAGTGTAACATCATGACCTAAGAGATTTAAGACTTTAGGATGAGCAACCATCTCTTTCTGTCTCTATATACACAGGGATCTTTTAGACTATTGTGTCGTTGGAATCGCGCCTAAGTGTCGAGTGTGGAGTGTGGACATATGTCTTGTATTCATTGAGACCGTTGGGGTTTGATAAGTTAAGTTGGGTCCTGACTCCAAGAATTTCATTTAATTACACTATTATAAAAGCAGAGTGTAAGTATTAATTATGAATTGTATATAGTATTGTATTTTTTTTATAACTTACACGGAACTAAAGGCAAATATTCGTTCTATATAGTATATATAGATATAAACATAGATATAAATGCATGCATTTAAAATCAAGATATTCAGATGTAATGTGTTGATGTGTTGTATACAGTGAGGGTCCAGTTCCCGGGTCAATAGGTCAGTAGTTTGCTGATCAAATCAACAATTTTTGGTAAAAAAATGTTTCTGGGGTAAAATAGAACCATTCACCTGAGTGGTTCCTGATTTTTCCGGTCTGGTCCGGTTTTAAAAATCATGGTGTACACATAGAAGGGCTTATAAAAGTGGAAATCCCATATTAATATAAAGGTTAAATTGCAAAATATATAGTATTCTGTACTTTGGGAATTATCTTTAGTATTTAAACTCCTGAAAACTGCCACTTTAGGCTTCATCGATAACATTCTGTCATTTATCTGATGCATGTGATGCTACACGCCATTTTAAAAATTTTAAAATCTTGAAATTATCCTTCAATAGAAAATATTGTTCATCATCTTCTTCCTTGAAATTAAACCAGAATAGTAGTAAAAGAGGTCCAAACCCACCACTAAATCACCTCCTATTTTAAGATGCCCTGTCATCTCAAAGTCATCCCTTGGAGTTAAAGTCAAGAATTCCTTGACCCGGCACTTAACAATTTTGGACAAATGAAATGAGTCCCCTAGACATAGGTGGCATATGGAAGAGATCAAGTTGTCAACGACTTACTAAGGCCCCATTCGCTTTTGGAGAACTTATTTACCTGGGTAAATGCATTCATCACATTTATCCATATTCTTCTATTTCTTAGAAAAACAAGACAATGGCTATTTTAGTCATAAAAATCTATTATTAAAAGGGGTAAATTTGTCCTGTCCAAGTGTTGACAATTTTTTTTCCCATCTGAGAGATGGAAATCATAAATTTTTCTTGAACCCCCCATAAACTAAATAAAGGACATCAATATCTTGGTCAATAAAAATCAAAGTCTCATTAACCAACTTTTCCTTCTCAAAATCCAAAAATCAAACACCCCCCAAATTTCAAGAATACTCAGTGCTCCTCATCTACCTTCTTATGGAAGGACGAATTCCTTGATTGTGTGTAAATGTATTGAATCATTTATAATAAAATAAAGGGCAATTTAAGTAATACAATATTTAATTGAGTTGCCGATGAGTGTGACAATTTGCGATAATCACAACCAGAACAAAGCGAGAATTATACAACAGCTAACAACTTTTGACTGCTCATATCAATGCTGCGTTTCTTCCCAAATTCAATTCCCGTCATATGCGCCCGCATCTTTGGCTTTGGGCTTCACACCATATCCCATTGGTATTTGGTCTAGCTTCTACCTTATTATAATATTTTCTCAGTCTCGTCACTAAGTTCTGGATCTATCTAGATGGTGCTCCAGGTCAATCAACTCAAACTGTCCGGATCGGTGGACCATGAATGGAATATATAAATTGTCATTGAGATCAATATATTTAAAGTCATCAAACTTTTTATTTGGTTTTCATTAATTAGTGGTAAGCATTTATCCAAAATTCTTCGGGTCCTTTTCTTTTCTTATACTTTCCCCTTACGCTATGTTTGGCTGATAGAAATAAATAAGAAAGACAAATCAAACAGTCTTATAGGATTGACTGGGACTGCTTTTCCTTCAACTTGTCTTTTTCAAATTATGGATCACTAATCGGATGGACCTTGCCCATCTTTAATTAATTTATTAAATTGGATTAGATCGGATTGACCAATATCCAGTCCATTGATAGAAGATAAGAATACAGGTGTCAATGAACCAATTGGGTTAGAAACAATTTGAACGGGCTTAACAGTCCAGACATTGAATTTGATTGGTGCAAAATGGTCATAATATTGTTTGGATTGGATTGAACCTAGTCCATCTGTATTTGGACTCATATTGGACCAGATGATATTAGAACTGACACCCCTAAACCTCCCAACCCTTATTCACCCAAAACCCGTGGAGGCTTGGATTTTGAGAATCCAAACAACCCGTACCCACACCAAAACCTGTGGCGGGTTGGATTTTGTGAATCCAAATTCTTCATGTACTTGAAAATGCAAAATTCTTCCCGACCCTACCCTCCTCGCATTCAAGGGTAGGAGCAGATTGGGTTTAGAACCTATATTAATTTTTTTATTATTTCTTGTTATATATAAATAATAAATAAGTAAAACAATACAAACAAATAATAAATTTTCTAATTATTTAATTAAGACTAGTAAAAAAATACATAAACTATCAATTATCATTCACATAAAACACACAACATTATTAAATTTAACACATAATACGTAAAATTGAATTAACATCTACGCCCTGCAAGAGGGCACCCCACAACCTCCCATAAAACATCCCCACTGTGTATTAATGATGATGTCATCATCAGGAGATATTCTGGGGATGATGTGCTGTGACACGTCGTGGGGCGCCCCCTTTAGGACGCATATCTGAACTCCATAAAGTTTATATAATTTCTAAAAATATACAAATTAGGATGATTCAGATTTAACCTAATATCATATTTCACTCATACTGGTATAAATTAGAAAATCCCAAAAACCCATTCCCACCCATCAAGTAAAAAAAATAGTCCCATCAAAGTGAATAGAAAGAGCCCATATGTCCTACTCACTTTTTCTACCAACTCTTTACCCACCGCAAATTGCATAAAAATTGATTGCCATCCCTATTTGTAAGAGCTACGTCGGATTTAAAATTTAATAAATTCCTATTCCAACCCGTCCAAATTGCACCCCTACCGAAAGTAATCCACTAATCCTTTACCATATCTGATACCCAGAATGAGATGCAAGGAACGGTCCAACTAATCTTAGGATCAGCGTGATAGCGCAATAGTGGGACCAACCCAAAACACAAACAGTGCATGCCTTACACGTGGACCATAATCTCCAATGCAGTTATTATTTCTGTGTTTTTTCCTGCTTTCCCTTTCTACGACCTCTCACCGTACCGTTATTTCCTCCGGTGATTTTGTGTTCCATAAATTATAGTAACAAATATTACTATTATTAACGAAACAATAAAGTAAAATATAAAAAGCTCCCACTGAAGTTTCTGATAATCAAAATAATCTCCTTTAGGGGTTTCACTTTAACAAAAAGCCCCCTATCGTTTCACAAAAAATTTGTAGTTGCCTCCCTTTCATTCTTGTTCCACTAATTAAGACTTCAAAATCACTAAAATTATTATTACAATTTATTAAAACATCTTTCAATATAATTTAAAATGTCAGATTTATCCTTCTAAACTCATCTTTTCAATGTGATTTGGGGAATATTTTAATTAAAATTGAAAATTTCTTTTAGGAATATTTTAATAAATTTTTATATAAATTAATAAATACAATTGTAAAATAGCCAATTTTTTAAAATTAATGCATTAGGCCAATGTTTTCAGTATAATTACGGAATTACCAGAGGGAGGTAACTGGAGGTTTTTTCAAAACCGTAGGATATATTTTTGTGAAAGTAAAATCTCAGGAGGGTTTTTATATTTTAATACAAAACAAAAAATAAAATAAATTAAAAAACCCTATTCTTCAGCTGTTTCCAAGGGCGGAACTGACAAATCTGACTCTTTCACCATGAATTGAATTTCTCTTTCACCCCCGCTGAGATCTCTGACCCCCAAAAGTTTCTTTGTCACAAAATCTGCATGTGTACGTACCCTACCTGACCGCTCCATCATATTGTTCACTCACGTCTCCCCTCTTCTCCATCCTTCCTTTGAACGCTTATTTTATGGGAGAGAAGATCGAAACACTCGAACCCAAGAATCCTAGGCTTTCTTTATGCTCTCTCTCTCTCTCTCTCTTTCTCTCTCTTCAGACTTTTCTTTCTCTAGTTATCAATTAAACTAAGCTTAGATAATTTCGATTGTGGACTCTATTGCCAACGTAAATATTATTATTGTAAGTACCCTATAAATAGGAGATCGATATGTTCCTTTTACACCCTTTCTTTTGCTTTTTGTTTTCTTCCTCCCACAATCAAATCAAGAGAGCAAATTCATGTTCGGTTTGGAAGACAGAAATCACGCGCCTCTTCTGATCTAACAACATCTAACCAGCTTCCTCTCCTCCTTCTTTGGTAGTTCAGGAGTTTGTGTGTGTGCTTGTTGCTCGACGTTAGTTCTGGTTATGGCCGTTCAAGCTCAGTATTTGGGGAATCCTGGCTTTTATTGGTATGGCTCACAGGAATGGATGGATACCAATGGTGGGTTTTGTGATTTTTATCTCAATCTCCAACAACAACAACAACAGCAACAACAACCGCAGCAGATGCAGCAGCAGCAGCTACGGAATCAACAGAGAGATCAAAATCAGTGTTTTGGTAACAGTGAAATGGAGTATTCTTCCATGGCATTTTCTCGATCGTTAAGGGGTCAGATTGAGAAACAGAAGGAGGAGATCGATCGTTTTATCCAGTTTCAGGTGAGAAGAGAAAAAAGTCAAATTCTTATTGGGTTTTCTTCCTCTTCGGAGCTTAAAAATTTTGAAATGGGATTTTGCTTCTTATTCTTTTATTTTATTTTATTTTACTTTTTTGTGGTGGGTGGAAACAGAACGAGAGACTGAGATCGACTCTACAAGAACAAAGGAAACAACAACTGGCAATCCTATTAAGGAGAATCGAATCGAAAACGCAGAGTTTACTGAGACAGAAGGACGAATACATAGCAAGAGCGGCCAAAAAGACAATGGAACTCGAAGATTGCTTGAAGAGAGTGGAGATGGAGAACCAAGCATGGCAGAGAGTCGCCAGAGAGAACGAAGCCATCGTTTTAGCTCTCAGCAATACTCTTGAACAGTTAAGAGAGAACGTCTGTTGCTTTTCCTCCGGAGCCGAAGACGCCGAGTCTTGTTGCGAGGTGGATAGAGCGTTCAGCAACAGAGGAGGAGCGGCAGCAAGAGACAGAGAGGAAGAGGCGGGAAGAGAAATCGGAACTGAAGGGGAAGAACAAACGAAAAAGATGGCTTGCAAGGCCTGTAATTCTCGAGTTTCGTGCGTTCTTTTTCTTCCTTGCAGGCATCTCTGTTCGTGCAAGCCCTGTGAAGGCTTCCTCGATTCCTGTCCTGTCTGTAAATCTCCAAAGAAGGCAAGCGTAGAGGTGTTCATGCTCTGAGTGGAAAAAACAAAGCACGAAAAAAAAAATTACTTTAGACGGTAGGAAAAAGAAATGCAAATTTTTGATATTGGATGAACTGCTCTCGGATTCATCTGTACTTGAACAACCCATCAAAGATCAAAACTCGAAGACTTAATTACGAAAAACAGAGCATAATTTCCTTTCTCGGACAATTTATTTTTTTCCTTTTATAGATTTTAAGTTTGTTTTTCCGGCTGTGTTCCAGTTCTTTTTTTTTACTTCTTTCATTGATTTGATTCGTCGTTCTCAGCTTTTGGAAGTTTTCATATGCCGCAGCATCAGCGGCAGCTGCAGTGGCGTGCTGTATTGAATTGACAGAAGAAAATAATGAAACGGTAAGGGGATTAAAAGCAAAAGCTTTTCCCTCTTCATTTTCATATTAACACACGGGGAATCGCGACTCGCCCGACCGGTCGCCAAGCAAGAAAGCAAAATCGAAACGTTTACAAGAGATTCCTGTATCCCACAACTTTGGTCGTATAATCCACGTGGCTAGTATTTTGCATCGCGCCAGTAGAAGTGGAATAAGGTTTCATGATGCGGGATTGTCGTTTGTGTTGGTTTTGGCTAGGTTGGTGAATGATGAAGTTGCCACGTAAGTTTTTTATTGGATACCGTTAAGGAGGGAGAGTGACGGAGAAAAAGCCTTGGGAGTCGGGACGAGCTATTGAGGAAGAGGGAATGGGAGTGGGAATGGGCGGGCTGCTGGCTCTGGCTAGGGCCTGGGCTTCTAATTCTGTATGTATGTGGATGATTTTCTCTCTCCTTTATCTAATCAAAACATAAAGAGAGTGAGAAACCGCCAGAGCCAAAACACTGCTCCAGGCTGATCAAAACATAAGGAGTAGAAGTGGAATAAGGTTTCATGATGCAGGATTGTCGTTTGTGATGGTTTTGGTTAGGTTGGTGAATGATGAAGTTGCCACGTAAGTTTTCATTGGACGCCGTTAAGGAGAGAGAGTGACGGAGAGAAAACTTTGGGAGTCGGGACGAGCAATCGAGGAAGAGGGAATGGGAGTGGGGATGGGCG